CATGCTGGCTGGGGAATTCTGGGAGTTGAAGTCCACTCATCTTAAAGTGGCCAAGTTTGGACAACACTGGACTACTGCAATGCACTCTACAGGGGGCTGCCTTGGAAGACCACCCAGGATGCAGCAATCCCCTTACTGGCACACACAAATTGTGTAAACCATGTGACATCTGTGCCGTAGGGCCTGAATTGGCCGCCAATAGATTTCCAGGGGCAGTTTGAAGTGTTTTAGTACCACTTTCTCCTAGTGGAATTGACCCATCCAGCACATGCTTCTGGACAAAAAATGTTAATGGTTCCCCTTTGGGGGCTCATAAATTTTACTTCGATGTTCCACCCCTTATTTCATAGAATAGCATCCCCCTTGAGGACTAGGTTAGTGCTTTCCCAGAAGTTGGTGAAAACACCTCTTCCAGAAGAGTGTATGGAGAATGATGGGCCCCGTGGCTGGCTGGGGAATTCTGGGAATTGGAGTCCACACATCTCAAAGTTGTCAAGGTTGAGGAACCCTGGTCTAGACACGCGATCCTTGGAGCGATGGAAGGGAATTCATGTCTTCACAGTTTCTAGCCTCCACAAAGCTGTGCTGTTCATGCCTTCATGCTCTTCGTATGTTCTTGCCCACTTGCTGAATGGGGTATATGATTTGGGTTAACTTTAAATATTTAAAGTTTATGTTTAAATGTAAGAAAGAAATGCTGCTGATTCAGATCAAAGGCCTATTTAGCCGAGCATTCTTCCCTCTGCATCTAACCAACACTGATTGCTTATTAGATACATTCTGGCTTGATTTACTGTATTCCTAATCCTTAAACTATATAGTATTGCAAACAAGTCTATATTGTCCATATATTACTGTTCAGGGATGTGAAGGTTGAAAATAATAATCTGTCCAAAGCCACACAGTGAAACCATGACAAAGATTAAATTGGAACAAATGCCCCCCAGGAACAGCTTGATTCTATGCATATATTTGGATATAAATCCTTTGTTCATAATAACAATGCATACAGTCACAAATTATGTCTGCAAGTAGCGGGAGCTTTCTAATTTATGGATTGGCAGAAATTTAAAGAATAATGTTTTGCCACCAAGTTTTGAGTTTCATCCCTGAGATTGGAGTATTAATGCATCCTTAAAAGTGTCTTTCAGATGTGAGTCTCTTCTGTAGCTGTGTCAGTGAAACACTTTTAATTGGATCTAGAGTAGGGGATATGTTATAAATAACATGTTTTATTTGTCTGCTTGTTTGTGGCTGCATTGACCCAGTTTGTGAAGCTTGGATAGTTTTAAACTTGGTTGTGATGATGCATCCTAATTCAAAATACAAAGACTTAACAATATTTTTTTATAATTATTTATTCAGTCAGTCAGTCACAATATGCATAAGCTACTTTTAACAGACTAGCCATGAGAAAAAAATACAAATAGGAGAATTACAAATGTAAATTATGGCACAAATTCTGGTTCTTTCTAATCATATCTTTTTTACAGAATTTGGCCAGAAACCTGTTTTCATACAATTGTGAAAGAGTGGGTGGCTGAAGCATTTAGGAACAGCACTGGTGGGTAAGAATCAGAGAATCTAACTAGATTTGATTTAATTTAAGAAATAAAGACTCCTTCAAATGGAGCTTGTTTCCTAGAGACCTGATGCCTATATCAATGCAGTACAGAAATGATCTTCCTGGAATACTTTTTTTTCCCCCACTTTTCCAGTCTAGTCTACCAGTATGGAATTCCCTGTTGTAGGAGTTCCCAAAGTGTAGACCATAATCCCCCATGGGGTCATGAGCAACTTCGAGAGATCATGTTTTTTAAAGGCTGCTCAGACTTTCACAGGTAGCATGGGAATGCTTTGCCCAGGCAAAGAAAGGAACAAAGCCCTGAGCGAGTTTTGGAAGATGGCTAAATCCACAGGTCTAGCCACCTCTCAAAACATCTACAGATCATAGCGGTGCTGTGATTGGTAGATGTTTTACCACCAGCTGGTGGCTCCTGGCATGACTTGTAGTAGTATATTCATTGTTTTTGGAGGGTCTATACAAGTTCCGTATCTTTAGCCATTATTTTTCTAAACTTTCAGATAGAAAAACTTTGTTGAGTGGTAAGAGAAAAGTTAAAGATGATCCAGCTATCAGTAGGCTGATAAAAGTAAGCCTAGGTCAAGACAGTATGATGAAAGTTACATACCGTATATACTTATGGATAAGCCAAGAATTTTAGATGCCAAAATATACCCACAAAATTGGGTTCGGCTTATCTGCAGATAGGCTTATCCATGAGTATATCTGGTAATACAGTGGTACCTCTAGTTACGAACTTAATCCGTTCTGGTTGCAAC